CCTGGACAGGTCACCAGTCTATCACAGGGCTACACTTAGAGACAGACAACCAAGCACACTAACATTCACATCTATGGACAATTTAGAATCACCAATTAACCTGAACATAGTTTTGGACTGCGTGGGAGGAAGAACCTGGAGAGAACCCACACTGAACATGCAAACTCCACGCAGAAAGATTCCAGTGCCTCCACCAGGATGCGAACCGGCAACCTTCTTGCTGCGAGGCTACCAACTGCGCCACCTTGCAGCCCCATCGCGCATCATCGAAGCTAAAAATTCATTTTTACTTTTGTACTTAAGTACATTTCTGAACCTGTATTTTTTTTTTACTTTTACTTGAGTAAAGGAGTTGAATCAGTACTTCTACTTTTACCAGAGTCCATTTTTACACAGGTATCTCTACTTCTACTTAAGTAAAGAATGTGAGTACTTTCACCATCTCTGGAGAGAATAAAGGATCTAGAGGGCTTTTAAAGTCTTGATTGGTTAAGTGGCCAGCATGTGAGTCAATCATCTGCTCTTCAGGAGCTCACAGGTGGCAGAAGCAGGAACACACAGGTGGCAGCCAGTCTTCTAATTTCCATCTGCAGGAGAGAGGTGGAGAGGAAGACACACACACACACACACACACACACACACACACACACACACAAACCTTCCACTCAGCACGTAACAATCATATTTGTAGTGATTGACAAACAGCTGTACAGACTCTCATCTACCCGTAAATCAGGCTGAAGTCTTCTCTGCACTAAAAAAAAAACATTTGTTCTGGTGAAGCGAACCTTTCGACAGCTATTACCTGAAAATAGATTTAAACATTTTAAGTGCTTGTTTGAGGTAGTTGAAGAAAATACCACAACACTTAGCTTTAAACACATTAAATGTCTTTGTCTAGCTGAGTTGGGTTTCATAACAAGCCTCAGATTGTCAGATGAGCAGATACAAACAGGCCCTGTGGGGTTTTGTCTTTGGCAAGATACAGTATCTTGTGAGGTTTTGGCAGCCGACAAATAACTTGAATTACACACTGAAAGCATCCTTAAACATCTTCAAATCGTTTCTGTTTTTTTTTTGGAAGAAGGAGAATGCATTATGCGTATATATTTTTAGGCTTTGGTGCTTTGCTAGTATGCAAATTTCCCCTCAGTTGTTTCTCGTGGCTGAATGAAAGAGCTCCAGTTTTACAGATTCATGTCAAGAGGGATAAATACAGGCGTGAGTGCGCCGGGTGAGACAAGTTTTTCAGAGCTGTGCTGTGAATATTTCCCACTTCAATGCCTTTATTGAATTTAACTTTAGACTAAAAATGCAGCTGCTCACTGTAAAAATGCTTACAGAGGCATGTGACATAACCAGCACTGTACCCTCCATTCAGGACAGCAAGCTCATATCCGTAGACGAACTTGGGTGTTTTATAAGAATGATGTTCACATGCTACAATAAAAACTGTCCATATAGTCAAGATTTTAAAGGATGATGTATGTTAGGGTCAATATATATGTAATTTAACTACGTCAACAACACCCAGTTAAATACATAAACATGTCTAGAGCTGTTTCTTGACCTGTACCAATATATAATACCCCAATCTGAGGAAGATTCACATGCCTTCTCTTTTATTCAAAGTGCTAGTTGAGCAAATTTGACAAAGCCTTACATAAAAAGACTGGACCCATAACATATAGCAACAAATCTTACATCAGCTGAAAAGCTTACAACACGATGACTTTCCTATATTATCAAAGCTATTATTAATCCATCCATCCATCCGTTTTTTAAAATCAGGGTCATTGTGGCAGTAGGGAAACCCAGAAATCTCTGTTCCCTGCATCCTCCACCAGCTCATTCTGCAGGATCCTCGGCTGCCTCCTGGTTAACTTGGAGATGTATTCTCTCCAGCAGGTCCCAGACCAGCCTTAACCACTTAAGACTCAAGCTCTCGTTTGATATGCATTTTTTTATGTCTCTTTGCTATTTGATCTGTATGGAGTAGTGAGAGTGCCAAATTACAATACGAAATAAGAAAAAATACAAATAATAAAACAATGAAAATAAAATATTAAAAATTGAAAAAAAATAAAAAAATTAGCTACACCGGCAATATAACCCAAAATGTGATGTCCTCGCATGTGAACGCCAGGTCTTATGAGGTTAAGGTCTTGTCCCACTTGACTGCCTTGTAGACTTCTAATGGGAAGG